TTCCTGAGTCCTGGCCTGGGGAGAAATAGCTGTGAGCTCTGCCAATGGAACCCACAGGAGTAATCAGAAATGACAAATAATTCTGGGGTTGTGACGAATGTCATTTGCAATTTTTTGTTCATTTGTTTATCAGTTGGATTCCAAAGTAATGGAAAGGAGTCTAAAAACTGAACAAGAACTTGGACATAATGTGAAATTAAAAAAACTAATAAATGTAAGAAATGTGAAAATGTTCTGCATTTCAGACCTCCACTGAGAGCAGCCTAAAAAAAAACTACTGGACTTGGGAACACCGGGTTAGTTAAGGACCATAGAGGGAACAGCTTTGCTTCTTTGCTGCCTTTTGAAACATTCCATGGAAAGCACTGCTTCCTTCAGTTGGGTTATGAACCTCTCCAAGGATGGGGAGTTGGGTTGGGATGACCCTTGTTGTGATTTGTCTCCATCACTCCATCACTTCTTCTGTAAAGCTTCTGGAGGGCTCTGGTTCCATCTTCTCCCCATGACCTGACCACTTCTTCACCCATCACTGAGCAAGATGCAGCCCTGGACAATGCATGTATGGTGCTGGGTCAGATCAATCCTGGGGTCAGAACAGACCAGATAATCCTCCAGGAGTCCATAACCTTTAGAGGAAGATGCCAAACCCTCTTATCTTCTTCAGCTGTGAGAAAGGAGTGGACAGGGGGCTGCTCTTAGTTCAGAGAAAAGTGGAGTCTCTTGCTGGAGGAGATAGAAAACTGAGTTCATCCAATTACTGAGCACAGCACTTAATGGCTCTGCCCTGGATTGCCCTGGCAGCCATAAGGGGCAGTTGAATGTGGAGGTGGGAGGCAGAAAGGGTTTAATAAAAAAAGCAATTTCATAAAGGAATTCTTTGCTTTTGGCATTTTCTGTAAGAGTGGGAAAATTATGCCATTTCCTCAAAATTGCCAAGGAAAGTGAGAAGAGCAGAACTCTGTGCTGCAGCTGCTGAGGGTCTGACCCCACACGCTCCCACTGCCCATAGGCCAGGAGTCAAGCTGAGGGGCACAAGCATTTAGTGCTGCCCTTTGCCCAGGATCACTGCAGGGATGAGCAGGGACCATCTCTGCAAGGGACAGTGCCCTGAAGCCATTGGTGTGAGCAGGAGTGACTGCAGCTCAGAGCTATTCCTCCAGCCACGTGCCCTCACCCAGTAAAGCCACAGCAGCTGAGGGGAAAGGTACTGGGACTGAGCGTGGCTTGGTGTCACTGCAGCAGTGGGAGAGCACAGGTAAATGGGCCAGGAGCTGGGCTGGGGGCTTGCCACCACGCCAGGGAGATGTGCAACTGCAGCCCAGGCAATTTCAGCTCAGTAATCCTCACTAACACATCGCCTGTCCCCGTCACATCCATCCTCCTCAGGAAGCATTTGATTGGCATTCAGGCACGGCCTCTTCTGAACAACCCAAGCTATGATTTATGCGATGCCTTTGTTTTCAGACACTGTTGTCAGCAATACCCATCCGCAGGCGAAACCGCCGATGCCTGCAGATTTCCAAAGGTTGTTATCATGGCTGCGCTGCCCTTGCTGAAGGGTAACAAACAGAAGCTTTGGTAAAAGTAGAAATGATCATTTGCTAATTCTCGCCTGTGGCTGTGTTCAGCCTCCTCCCCTGAAACCAAAAGCCCCAGGGACAGCACTTCAATTCAGGAAAGAGGAGAAAACAAATTGATGTACTGTTCTGGGTTCCAAAGAGTCTCCTACGGCTGGAGAAAATAAGCGCTATTTTCACACCAGCCAGTCACAGGATCCCGCTTCCCAAACTGTCAGAGTGCTCAATATCAGAGCAAGAAAACAGTTTTCTGTTTTTTCTGTTGAGCTTTAAATGGTGAAGAATCCAAGACGGAATCGCTATGGATTAAAAAATAGCCAAATTATGATGTTGGTTATTATGTTTGGTTTTGTTTGTGGGTTTTTTTGGTTTTTTTTTTTCAGTAAAAGTCATGTTTGAGCAGCATCCTCAGGATACAAGAGCAGCTGATCACTGCACAGCAGCTAGCCCTCACCTTGCTGATGCAAAGTGATTTACTCTTTCCTTTGTGCCCAGGGAACCAGCCGCACCCTCACTTTTCCTCCAGGCATCTTCCACATTTCTCATGGGCACCGTGTCCTTCTCCCCTCCATGGGCATGCCACGAGGATTGCTCACCTGCCCTGTCTTCACCAGCTGCTTCCAAACCCAAACTGGAAACCACAGGCAAGATCTCCATGCTACAAAGCTTATGCCTGCAAACTCCAGGCCTGGCAAACTGGTCAGATAACAGAGCTTTATGGAACTGGGCCCATGAGAGCTTTGGCCATCTTGGGAAGTTTCTCTTGTAACACCTCTTGGGTTCCCATCTGCACCAGCCTTTCTCCAACCTCTCTCCAGCCTCTACTCGTCCCACATCAAGCTCTGCCATCATAACCTTTCACCTCCCTGTTCCCAGGCACCAGCACTGCAAGAACAGCTCTACTTTTGCTTCAGCCCATTCCCTCTCTCAGCTTCAGAGGAAGACTGGAAAATGTGAACCACCCCAAGTGAGTCTGTTAGTAAATGCCTTTCTTTTCAAGGGGGTAAAAACCATTTGCAGTTTCTAAGCTGTGATTCATAATCATCTGGACCTGGTTTGTGATCTTTGAATGCTTTTGACTCATGACTCTGTTGCAATTCCCCCAGGGCACTGGTGGTTTTTCTTAGTAGATCAAACCTTTATCAACAAGCAATTTCCAGCCTTGATGCAACAAGTTCTCCTCCAGCTTGTCATGGATGGGCCATCCCAGGGAGATAGGTGGGCTCCCAAATATTTTGTTCCTCTTCAAAGTAATTCTTCATTCATTTGCAACATTATATTGCACCAAAAAAAAAAAAAAAAAAAAAAAAAAAACACTCAAAATTGGAAGTGATTTGGCCAAAAGGTGGTGCAGATATCCCACCTGCAAAAGGGGGATGATCTCTTCCTGCTGATCTAGCCAAAGGTAGACCTGATGGCTCAGAGTATCCTTCCCCAGCTGTCCCTACAAGAGCCTTCTGGAAGCCTAGACAATCCAGCAAAAGGGTTTGCAGAGCTCCTCTGTCCCACAGTGCATATGGTGACTGCATCCAACATGGTGACTGCCCCACTCCAGCCCCTGCTTGGAGCTTGCCTGTCCTCCCCATTTCCCATGCTGGGGGCTGTGCTCAGCAAGTCACACCGCATGCCTGACTCATTTTTCTCTACTCCTCCAGCTGATGTGTTTGGAGGAACACACTGCTCTGACAAGGTGACACATCCCAAGAAAGCCCACACTGCTGAAGACACCTCCCTGCTCCCTCTACCAGGAGCACCCAGCGCCATAGCAGCTAACAGCTCTTTTTCATCCCTCCCTGCTCAAATCAGCCCTGAGCATTTCTGTTTGATTTTCCATAGAGATGTAGAATATATGTCAATCAGACGAGCCCTGAAATCCCACATTTTGAAGGCATCTTACAAACATACAGGTGTCAGTAGAGGCGTTTGGGAAAGAAGGGCAATATCTAACAGAGAAATTGCATTAAAAACCTTGTGCTTGAGTGCAGCAGCATTAGCAGCCTATGTTGTCCTCCATTTGGCAGAGGCAGCTGCCCCTGAAACAGTTGGTTTGGCTCCGTTTGTTGTGGAATAACCAAGTTCAGCTCATTGTCTTGCATGATGTGGAGTTTCTTCTACACATTTCAGCAGTAAAACACTTAATCTCAAACAGCTCTGGGAAGGGTCATTAACATGAAGTTAAGTTACTGCAAATCCAACATGAGCTTAAGCAATCAGAGGACGAGAAGCGTCCAGGAGGCAGATGGTCCCTGCTTTGATGCATCTGGCTTGCAGAGGAAGGAAAGATGAAAACTACAGCATCATACATACCTGCAGTGTTCCAGAAACCAACAGTTCTCATCTGCAGATTAGCTTTTGTAAACACCGAGGATTTACCCACTAAACTCAAGTTTGGAAATATGCCTGAATGTTTCCAAGGAATCTGAGGAAAGATATTTCTTTTTCTGGACAATCAAAACTATCACATTTCCTGGCTACAGTGAGATTCTCTAAACTGGAAAATGTGCAAACATGTTTTACTGTGAGTGGGCACATCCCAAACAAGGATAATCAGAGAAACTCTTTTCAGCACTGCTCTATTTACATATGTTAAAGACTGAAGAGGAAAATTTTATCCCCAGTTGGCCTGCCATAACCATAAACACCCTTACTAAGTCTTTTTCCAGCTTTGGGAAGTGACACCAAGGCACTTAGTGGCACTGTCTGCTTTACTGAAGGAGCAATATGGACAGTGCTGGACTTAAATGAATGTCTTTCATCTCTAACAAATGGCCATACCTCACTCCTCAAAGAGTAATACTTTGTCCCAGGCACCCAAAGGGCTTCTGCCTGCTCGCAGAGATTCACCAAGCACCCAACCTGGATGCTCACAGAAGCTGAGGGGGTCACACCCAACACCAGCTTTAAGTAATCCATTAATGAAATGCAAAATGCCATCCAGAGTAGTTCTTACAGAAAATGGTCCTAGGGAGAGCAGAGGGAAACCTAAGTGAGAGTAGGAAAACTCTCCTCTCTGTGTGGGCAATCTCACAGGGAACGTTTTTGGCAAGTGAAGCATCCTCCAGGGCTGCATTTGGATTGGGGTCTCCCTTGGACAGCAGGGCAGCTGCCTGAGCTGAGATTCCTGTCTCACAAACAGCTCCTTGAATTGCTCTTGGCATTGACTTTTTCTGCTCAGCTAATTAAAAATCTGTCTTTGAGTCATAAGCCCCCATTAGTAATAATTTGCTTTGCACTTCTCCAGTGATTTATGGCTGAGATATCAAAGTGCTTTAGAAACATTAATTAATCCTTCTAATACCCAAGGGACTGATCCACTGCCTGCAGCGCACCACTGCAGGAGTAAATGCAGGAGATCCCCAGGGCTCACTGGAGCCCGCAGGCAGGGAGAGGGGCAGGGAGCAGCACCCGACCCGGCCAGCTCAGTTCAGCCTGCGACCAGAGAGAGGGGCAGGCAGAATCACAGCTCTACACGTGCAGCCGCAGGAAGCCTGAGGCACATACGGGCTCTCCATCCTCCAGCAGCGGTTCCTGCTGCTGCCTCCATCTGTCCAGGCAGAACCTGTTACTGTGATGGCTGTGAGCCCTGCGAGTGGCAGTGGCAGAGCTGGTCGTCAAAGCTGCACACTGATGGAAAGGGGAGCCCGGTTTGTGCGGGCGTTCCCTTGCTTTTCTGACCATTTCTCCAGCCTGGCTCTTGTACAATGTCATTTCTTCCCTGCAGCCCCATGCACAGTGTGTGGCTCCAGCCCTTGTTATTGATAAGGACTGTGACCGCCATTGGCGTCGGGAGGCTCTGCTCCTTGTGCCATTTGCCACCTGGCGTTGTCCCTGTACTTTCACCGTTGTCATCATGACACTGTGGGGTGGAGCTGGCCATGGAGGGTGGTGCCAGCGATGGGAAAGTATAAAGGCCTCTGCACAAGCGGTGAGAGATGGCATCTCCGTGATCCAGAGCAGTGTCCTCTGTTTCCTCTTTGCTGTCTCCAGCTGAGCATCACCTTGACCATGAAAACAAGTGCTGTTTTCCTGCTCCTCTTCCTAGCGATCGGCTTCACCCAAGGTGAGTGCCACATTTTGCTTAGGAGCCATTTCCTCTCCCTGCTCCAGCTCCAAGCCTGCTGCGTGGGAGGGCGAGCCTGGGAACGGGCCGGCTGTGCTGCGGCCTTGCTGCTGGCAGTGAGCAGCAGTGCTCCCAGAGAGGGCTGCAGTGTCAGCAGGCACTAAAGCAGTGTCTGCAAGCAAGCCTAGAGAAGTTTTAAAGGTGCTCAACTCCCACAGTGAGCAGAGCTGCTGGGCTGAACTCTTCCCGTGGGGCTGGAATTCGGTGGGAGCTGGTGATTTCTAGGACGGTGCAATTCTTTTAGAATAAATAGTTGTTATTCTAGTTGTAAAGAAGTAAAACCAGGAAGACAGGAAACAAATCTATGGAAAGGAAAATGCAATTCTTGTTTCCAAAGTCAATGTTTAAGCCAACTGTGTTTTCAAAATCCCATATGGTGCAGAGGGATGAGAACATGAGTTGTTGCTGCTCTCCCGGTCCCGCTCACTAGGGATTTCTGCATTAGCAAGTTCATTCCCAATGCTTCTGAAGCCAGACCATCATCCTATTTTTTGTGCTGCAGTTGCCATTGCAGTGCGTTTGCGCACAAAGCAGATCTCCTTTTATATGAACTAAGCATGTACAGAGCCACAGATCCTGGGACTGGACTGGTGCTCATTCAGAATAAAGCCCCTCAAGCACAGAAGTGTGACTACCAGATCCTCAGCAACAAATCACTTCACCCTACAGGCCCACTGCTATTGGGCCACACTGACTGGTGATGTAGATGCAGTCTAAATGCTTTGAGCAGATGAGTTCTGGATCTATAGGCAACCTAAAACCATCTTCCCAGTACTCCTTTCTGCCAGATAGATGCAGGCTGTTTTTCAAAACAACCCACCATGTTGGGTTGTTTAGAAAAGGCCACAGCATCCCAGCCATCAGCTCAGGGCCAGCTTCTCCATGGAAAAGGCCAACAAAGTCACAGCTTGCTCCCACCAGCTTTGGTGTGAAACCTCAGGGTCTAGCGTTTCTCCTTCTAGTAGAGACCAAGTTGCCTTTTGCTCTGTTTCCTTGTGGTTCAAAACCACTGACACCAGAAAGTTCACCCCGGATTTACTCCAGGAGCAGTCCAGCACCAACAGAAGTTTCTCATTTATCCATGAACGTGTTATAAGAGATAACAAAAGCCACCTTTGCTCCCTGACAGCTGGAACAAACAGCATGGAAAGTCACAGGGTACACATCTGGCCTTGAAAGGAATTGCACCATTGTGCGCTTTCTGCTGAGGGAGAGAAGTAAAATGGGAGAGATGCAAAGGAGGGAATTATTTGCTGGGCTTTTGAAAGGGCAAAGCTCTCAGAGTGAAGACACACAGTCCTCAGGCTGAAGCTTTTTGTTGGGACCCCTAGAAGCCAACCTGAGTGAAGAGGATCCTAAGGTGCCTTTTCTCTCTACACGCTTTCTCTAGGCAATGCTGAGCCTGACGGCGCTGCTGGCCAAGGAACAGAGGTGAAGGCTCCTGTTTCTTTGTAGCATGAGGATATGGACAACTCTGGGGAGTGAGCACTAATCCATGCACTGGGATTCCACTCTTGCTACATACAGTGAAATAACATGAGCTGCTGGGCTGGGAGTGCATGCTGCTGCCTGCAAACCTCCTTCCACCTGCTGCACCACAGCCAAATCCCAGGGATGGTACTGGCCTTCCTTTGCATTTTCCCACACTCAGCAAAGGGAACCTGTTACCAAAGAGCTGAATGTTGCTGTTACCTGCCAAGAGAAGATCAAAGCTCCCATTGCTCTTTAGCTTCTAAGTGTGAGGGCAGGTATTCTTGTGGCCATAGAAAATAAAAACTGGGGATAACATGATCAGACACTGCCCGTGGAGCATTACTTGCTCTGTGTTGGCACTGCCGTAGGTGTGCAGGAGTGCCAGGTGGAGTTCAACTGCCAAGGGATGATGACACAGTCAGCTCATAGCAGAGTGCTAAGCAAGCTGGGATGGGTTACCAAGACATACAAAACATGCGCATTGCTGGGAACGCAGAGCATCTGTGGTAAAGTGAAAGCACGTTTGATATTCTCAGAATTTCTCTTCACTGTCTCCAGGCAGCATGTGGCAATTACGACGTAAGGAAAGGTTGCACAAAGAACTTTGACCCCATCTGTGGCACAGATGATGTCCTGTATGGCAACGAGTGCATGCTGTGCGTTCAGAACATGTGAGTATCCAGGCCTCCTCCGAGCCTAAATACCACGCAGATGATGACACCGGGATTTCCTAGACAGCAGGCTGTCTGCATGCAGCTGGGTGGAGCACGGGCAGCGAGCCCAGCACATCTGGCACACATCTGGCCTCCCGCCGAGGCTGCTCAGAGCATGTGGGCTCCTGCTGCGAAATAGGTCTGCAGGCTGTGCCTCGCAGCGCCCATCTGCCCACACACCGCGATCAAATGGCCAACATCTCCCCACACCTGCAGCTGCCGAGCTGTGCCGTGGTTCAGGCTGTGCTGGAGGCTGTCCAGAAGCTCAGACAAATGGCAAAACCTGCAAAGCCTGCCCGGATTTCACATGCAGGCAGAGAAGCGTGTGTTCGGGTGGAAGAAATACTCCGCTTTTCACACCAGCAGTTTACAGCTGAGCTCTGCTTTCTGTCTTCTCTGCATCTGAAAGGTTACAATTTGCTGTGGATATTTTTAAGAATAAGCCTTTATTTAATCTGTGCTGGTGCCAGATTGCAGAAGGCCGGGACCAAAAGCCAGTGAAGTGTCTGGCAAGACTTGATTCATTTCATCTATCTTGGGCCCTAGGTAATTCTGAGTATATTTATATATTGCAAGTGCTCCATGGCAGACAAGTGAGGGAATTACTTCCAACTCAATGCTATTAAGTACTTGAAAATCTCTATTGGGAAGAGTGAGTCTGTTCCATAAGCAAGTGCTGCAGTCTGCGTGGCTAAGGGAGCTTCACACTGGCTTTCCCTGCTGGGTTTGGGGTGACCACACTCATCTGCCATCAGCAAAGACATCTCCAACAGGAGCTCAGATTCCAGTCCCTGGATGAATGGAGCTGTAGAGCCAAATTGTGGTTTTTTAGGAGCAGCGTCAGCTGCAATAACAAGGAACAGAATCCAGATCACCAAAGAGCCTGGATGAGAACTGTTGGTCTGGCTGGCCCCTGTTCTTCATTAGCCCAGGCTCCAGCTCCATATTCTGTTCTTTGACACTTAAAGAAAATGCAGTAGGGCAGAGAGGTGCCGAGCGGGATCTCCAAATGAAGGCACTGCAGTTAATGACATGGCGCGGCCGTAATGACCATGCTGGAAGCCAGCAGCCCAGCACCAGCTGCCGGCTGCATTGTGCAGCAGATGGGGGTGGGAGGTTCGTCAGACACAACATCGTTAGGGCCTTGGCCAGGAACCAGGAGAGTGAGGAAGGCTTCGAAGCCATGTGAGCAGGGAGCGATGCAACATCAAGGGCTCCACGTCTCCTTGGTGCAGAGCACAGCTTTGGTGGGGATGGGGATCTCCATAGCCATGGGGAGGAAAGCGAGGGATGCCAAAAATATTTTCCTTATTTTAGATACAGAAGCAGTCACATGGGAAGCTGGGAGCAGGCCCAATCCAAGCAAAGTGGCAGACATTTGTCTGCAACAAATTCACACAAACAAAGTTATAACCTTCAGCATCTCCAGCCAGACAGGCATTGGAGGTGACTGACGTTGGTCCTGCAGCAAGGAGGTAAACTGTTCTGCCTGGAGGCACTGGGAAGTGCCAGCTCTCTGCTTATTGGTTAATTAATATTAACCTATGCCCATGGTAACCCTGAACTCTCTGTCAAGAGTATGTGGGCTTACTTAAATGTAATGCTTAAAGGAAGAATTAAGCAGTATTTTTACTTCTATCCTCATCCCCTGAGCCGGGCTCTTTCTGTCAGGGACTTGAAGGCATCCTCTGGCACTTTTAACCTCTCTTCCAGGCAAAGACACACTAACGTGCGCATAAAGAACAGAGGAAAGTGCCAAGAGCCCTCTCCACGCTCCAGCTCTGCTTGAAATTAAAGGCACGGCTGTGATAGAGAAGATGGCATGAAGGTACTCCTCATCTCTACAAACTTCAAATAAATTGAAAGCATGACAACTGCTCACGCTGGGATTTCTCATACACATAACACACTCCTTTCCCCTACATTTAAAATACCTTCCTGGAAAACATGGGGAGGTTTGGTAACATCCACACAGAGTACTGATGGAGCCCCAGGGGAAAGTCCAGGTAGTTCCCAAGAAGAGCATCAGGCTTTTGGTTTACCAAGGAGCTCTATAGCATCAAGAATCCCGTTTCCCTGAACTTCCCATAGGGGATATTTTAAGCATCCTCATAACTTTCAGTGACGTTTGCTAAAAGCAAGGCATCAAAGCCCTCACTCCAGGGCTCTGCCAGGACGAGAGGTCCAACGGGTCCCCTTGGTGGTGGCAGATCTGCCTTCTCCATGCAGCACAGTGGAGCACTGGCCCTGAGGATCACGGCCACTCGGTGCCCGAGAAAGACAATCAGTCCGCAATTTTTCCAGAGGGTTAAAGAGAAAGAAAGAAAAAAGGCTTTTTCTACGGTGGCCTCGCCGAGCCCCGTCGCTCCCCCCAGGGCTGGCACCTCGTGAGCAGGAGCTGCTGCGAGGACGGGGCCGGGATGCGGAGGGAGGAGGTTTGGGCGCTGGAGGCCGCTGTTGCTCCGCGGAGCCGGGCCGGGGCCGCAGCTGGAGGTCGGGGCAGCCCCGGGAGCGGGCACGGCGAACCGTCACAGCCCGGCGGGTCCCGCAGGCCGGCGGGGATTCGGACCGGTGCGCGTCCTCCGGCCCGGCGGGCACAGAGTATTGGCACATCTGAGCAAGGCTCGTTATGGGCTGGAGCATCTCGGTGTTCCTCGCGAATCACAGCCCTTGAACAGATGTCTGGTTGTCTTTTGAGCAAATCAAATGCTTTGTTCTTAGCAAATCCTGAAATTCAGTTTGGTTAGAAACATCTGCTTAAGTCCTCTTTACGTCCTTATGAGTTCTCTTCTTTGAAGAGGTGGCTGATGCATAAAAAAAAAAAGTGCATGATCAGGCTGAGAAGAAAGCTCCAGCACTCACTTGAAATGACAGATGCAGCCAGATGCAGCCGGGGGGTGGGGGGACGGCACAGCGCCTCTTCCCAGGTCTGCCAGCAAGTCTGCGGTCAAGGGAGAGATGAAAAACGGCTCACTTTGCACCTATGTAAAATTAATGCACTGAAGGAGGAAGCCCCAAATGCACTCAGGAGCGCATACTGCATCTATGCCTTTGCTCAAAGGGGATACTGGAAGCGTACCTCCCTCAGCTGGGATATTTCTAATTCTGCTGCATCATGAGGGACGGAGCACAGCATTTACCTTAGAGCTCTCTGCAGCTGGGGGGTAGGAAGGCAGCCTGGACCCCATGTTGCTCACTCACTGCTCCTGGACTTTGTGGCATGGACAAATCCAGCTTAGCGGTCCAGACTGGTTCCTTCCATCCAGACAGCACCACTGAGGTTGCTCTGAGGCCAACTAATGCTGAGCAAAATACCTTTCCTGTTCATGTCTCTTCTGGGAAGCATCACCCAGTATTAGCCAAGAGCATTTGTTGATGAAGTGAGGTGCTGTCCGACCTTGCAAAACAGGGGTGATGTTGGCCAGATGGCTGAGCAGCGTTGCATCTCCCCGGGCGCTGTTCTGACAAGGACTAAGATTTCTGTTAAATGTCAGTCACATCCATTTCACAGCAAGATCCATTTCAGGCTTGAGATCAACGAGCAGTAACAGAGGACCAAAGGGCCACCATGCACAAGGGGCAGACCTGGTGGCAAGCTCCCAGAAGGGACCGCATCCAGCCCACATCCCAATTTTGATTTAAACAAACCTCCATCAGTGCTTGATATTGGGGTGGGAGTCCTTCAATACAGTGTCATATTCTGCTCAGTATCTCCAAAGCAGGCCTGGGAGCAGCCTCAGGGAGGTGACAGTGACAATGGCTAGGCAGCAAGGGACAGATGGCCTTGGGCAGCATTTGCTGATTGGTTTCTTACAAGTTAGACTTTTCTGCCAGCAGAAATTTTGCTGAAATCTAGCTAAAGAAACCCTCCCCACATCAACTCTGATAATGCTCCACAGGGAAATATTTATTCCTATCATTGATGGCATTTGACTTTATAATGTCAAGATAACAAACTGCTAAGTCAAGATTAGAACAGCAGTGAGGAATTTTAAAGACAACGCTTCAGCTAAGCAGAAACTCTGGAATTTTGGTAGTTTCCAAATATTTCTGTTGGAAAGAGGCAGCACAATCTTCACCCAAGGCAGCCTTCTACTTTAACCAAGTTTCCAACATCAGGTTTGCTTTTCTGTTCTGAAAACAAGCAGAGCCCCTCTTGTCCCTGCTGCAGCTGCCAGAGGCACTCTGCAAGATGTGTGCCACTCCAGGAGACGTTTTCTTTCAGGGAGCTGCACTGAACCCATTCTGAAAAGCTGGCAAGAGGAGGTTTCTCTTTGCAGAGGCTGAGCAGGAAGTGGGCTGGAGTACAGGCTTTTTCCAAAAACATAAGCACGTGACTAGTTGTGTGAAGGGGTACCACCAACAGAAAAACACAAGTCATGTCCTTCCCTACAGCACCCTGGTGTGATGATGCCCACATTGCTTGGTGAGTGCTGGAAGCTCTCCTTTCCTGGTAGATGGTGCTAATGCAGCCCAAAGCCACAAAGACATGAGGCCAGTGCAGGTGTCCAGCTTGCAGGTTGCAAATGTCACTCTCAGGGACCAAGAAGTGATGCATGAATCAGAGATCCCTAGCAGCCCTATTTCCTGAAGTCAGCATCCATGCTGGGGAAGGGGAACAATAGCCTGCCCTGCAGAAGGAGGGTGCTCCCTATGTCCCCTACCAACGTCCTCACAAGCACAGATGGTGCTGAGGCCCAGGGGTATGATCCCAAGGGCCAGGTACTTTTGGAATGCAGGGGACAAGCAGCAGTAAGATGACACAAACGCCTGATGTAAAGCAAGCTAGAACGAGCTGCTCCAGTCCCAGCCAGACAATAAACAGCCACAGCTTCACTGCAGCTTCTATTAAGCAGAAAGCATTTCTGAATGGCCCAGTGCTCAGACAGCTTGGGAATGTTGCAGTCATGGAGCAGAACAGCTGCACCAGCAGCTCCCCTCTGGCTGCAGACCTCAACCCTACCACCCTATTCCACAGCCATCGCCCAGCAGTTTCGTTGCTCAGCAGCAGCCACCAACAAGCCTCAGAGTTTTGCAGCAGCAGAGCTGCCCGCACAGCCTATGGGATGCTTCCCGACAGCACAAAAGAGATGAGCACAGCAGGTAAACTACAACAGAGTTCAAGGGCAAGGTCTTTCCCTGAAAAGATTGTTTGAAAGATTAAAGATAATGTGGCTCAGTCATAGGAAATGTCCCATTGTTCTTGCTGTTCCTTCTTAATCTGGATTGATAAATAGCCCCCAGCGCTGGGAAAGCAAAGCAGCTACTCATTTACTACTTCCCCAAGAGTTATTAGGAAAAGTCATTCACATCTGCATACACAGAAGCAAGCAAGCATTTTCTGGCCCCACTTCTGGCACAAGCTTTCCACCCCAACTCAACTCCTTTTAAAGATAATTCCTGCCTCAGAGGCAGCTAATTATCCACAATGGTAAGTCTACACTTTCCAGCTCTCTCAAAGGCAAAGCACAGGTTTTGACCTAAATAGGACATCATGACCAGGAAACATATATTTAGAGCTGCATAGCAGAGCTGTCACTCTCAGAAATAAAGCTCATGAGAGCAAGACCTCCTGCCATAACCAATCCTGACAGTGGAAGTTTCCCATGAAAATGAATTCTCATCACTGGGGGCTTTGGGCGGGTCATGCAGCTCCCTGGTGTGGCATAGCACACAGCTTTCAGGCTCTTGGGTCTCATTTATGTCTGCAGTTCTCACCTGTTCCTGGAAAACCCATTCCACAGGACAAGAGGTAATGGCCTTAAGTTGCACCAGGGAAGGTTCAGCCAGGTTGGATATTAGGAAGCATTTCTTCTTGGAAAGAGTGGTGAAGATATTGAAACAGGCTGCCCAGGGAAGTGGTGGAGTCACTGCTTCTGGAGGGGTTCAAGAAGAGGGCATAAGGGGCACTGAGTGACGTTGTCTCTGGTAGCCATGATCATGGGTTGATGGTTGAACTATTTGATCTTGGTGGTCTTCACAGTTCTATGAAAACACTGCCTGAATGACACGCCGAAATGCAAGCACAGGAACGAGCTCCAGAACCAGGTGTCATCAGGGGCTGCACATGCTGGAAACAGCAGGATTGTCATCCTGAAACCTGTGAAGGTTTCCTCATCTGAAACCCCTACACACACATAATGGCCAGCAAAGTGGAAGCCAGAGATGCTGAGCACGATGCTCAGGTGGCCCCTCCAGCCTGCCATGGTACACCAGCTTCCACAGAGGGAGCGTGAAGGCTGTTCTCTGTTGTTGCTGAAAACATTTAAGTTTGAAGAGTCCTTCCAGAAGCTCCTTGACTCCCTGACCCTGAGAAATGAGCCAGAAAGCAGCCTGGGACACAGAGAGCCACCACAAAACTGTTTCAATTCAGCCAAGAGGCGGAAAGGAACCTCGGAGGACGACTAAAAATATCCCTGCCAACTCGTACTCTGGCACTGTGCCTAATTGGGCACTGCCCACCTCGGGAGCAGATATTCCTGTGAAAACCCGACGCTGTGCGGCTTCGCTGGGCAGGCTGCAGGTGGGAGCTGACAGCAACACCTGCCCCTGGATGGCCGGGATGGGAGACGTAAGGAGAGCGGCAGGAGGTGCCTAAATGTAATTTTCTCTTTCCCTGATCGAGCGTGCTGAAGAATAGCTTGCCCATGTTAAGACAGTGTGAATCCACTTCGTCAATATATAGAAATCACGAGGCTGTTGTGCCAGTCAGGGCAAGAGGTTTTATTTCTAGACTGTCAAGGGAGACAGAATTCTTTAGAAAAATCAATGAAATTTAAATGAGGACATCGGAACGGCTGTTCCAGCCCCAAAGGCCCACCTAGGCAGGTACTGCGCTTCCAGCACAGCATGTCCTCCACCAGGAGAACAT